GGGTCGATGGGGAGGTTGCGGCACCACCCCCTGTCACGCACAGAGCAGGGCCAATCGGGGTTGGGGCGCTGCCCCCTGTCACGCACAGAGCAGGGCCCATCAGGGGTTGGGGAGCTCCCCCCTGTCACTCACAGAGTAGGGCCGATAGGGGAGTTGGGGCACCGCCCCCTGTCACACACAGAGCAGGGCGGATCAGGGGGTTGGGGTGCTGCCCTCTATCACCCACAGAGCAGGGCCGATCAGGGGGTTGGGGCGCCTCCACTCTCACACTCAGGGCAGGGCCGATGGGGAGGTTATGGATCTACCCCGTCACACACAGATCAGGGGGTTGGGGTGCCGCACCCTGTCACACCAGAGCCGCAGGGTGATCAGGGGGTTGGGGAACTCCCCCCTATCAGGCACAGAGCCTGTCACGAACAGAGCAGGGCCGATAGGGAGGTTGTGGCCCCGCCCCCGTCACACACAGAGCCGCAGGGCAATCAGGAGGTTTGTGCTCTGCCCCCTGTCACGCTGATCCCGGTGCTGGGAGGCATATTACCCTTTTACTATATAGAATAGAGGCCTGGTGCATGGGTGAGGGCTGGCTGGTTTGCCCTGAAGGGTGTCCTGGATCAGGGTGGGGGTCCCCACTGGGGTGCTTGGCCAGCCTGGGTGAGGGGATGATGGCTGTTTGCAGCTGGTCACACACCCTTCAGGGTGGGGGTCCCCACTGGGGTGCCTGGCCAGTCTGGGTGAGGGGCTGAGGGCTGTTTTCAGGCTGGTGGGTGACTGAAGCTCCCAACTGCTTCTTTTTTTTTTTATTCTGGGCCAGCTTTAGCTCTGAGGCTCCAGCTCTGAGGCCTCCGCTCCTGAAAGCAGGTATCTGGTTTGTTTTGGTTCTATAATCGAAACTCTATATCAACTCCAGCTCTGAGATCCCAGCTCGCTGAAAGCTGGTTTCTGGGGTTTTGTTTAGTGTCTGTATTTGTTACAATGTTTGAAACTGCAGTCCTCCATCACTGAAGCAAGCAAGCCTCATGTTAGTTTCAAGCTGCCTGGCTGCCAGCCGCCATCTTGGCTGGCAGTTAATTTGCATGTCGCCCTGATTAGCCAATGGGAAGGGTAGCGGTCATACGCCAATTACCATGTTTCTCTTTTATTAGATAGGACCCTGTCACGCACAGAGCAGGGTCAATCAGGGGGTTGGGAAGCTCCCCCCTGTCATGCACAGAGCAGGGCCGATCAGGGGGTTGAGGAGCTCCCCCCGTCACTCACAGAGTAGGGCCGATAGGGGAGTTGGGGCACCGCCCCCTGTCACACACAGAGAAGGGTGGATCAGGGGGTTGGGGCGCTGTACCCTGTCACACTCAGGGCAGGGCCGATGGGAGGTTATGACTCTACCCCGTCACACACAGAGCAGGGCTCATGGGGGGCGGTTGGGACGCCGCACCCTGTCACACACAGAGCCGCAGGGCGATCAGGGGGTTGGGGAGCTCCCCCCTATCAGGCACAGAGCAGGGATGATCAGGGGGTTGGGGCGCTGCCCCCTGTCATGCTGATCCCGGTGCTGGGAGGCATATTACCCTTTTACTATATAGGGTAGAGGCCTGGTGCATGGGTGGGGGCCGGCTGGTTTGCCCTGAAGGGTGTCCTGGATCAGGGTGGGGGTCCCGCTTGGGTGTCTGGCCAGCCTGGGTGAGGGGCTGATGGCTGTTTTCAGCTGGTCACACCCCCTTCAGGTTGGGGGTCCTCACTGGGGTGCCTGGCCAGTCTGGGTGAGGGGCTGAGGGCTGTTTTCAGGCTGGTGGGTGACTGAAGCTCCCAACCGCTCCTTTTTTTCTTTTTTAAATTCTGGGTCAGCTTTAGCTCTGAGGCTTGCCTCCAGCTCTGAGGCCTCGGCTGCTGAAAGCAGGTATCTAGTTTGTTTGGGTTCTATAGTCGAAACACTGTTTCAACTCCAGTTCTGAGATCCCGGCTGGCTGAAAGCAGGTTTCTGGAGTTTGTTTAGATTCTATATTTGTAACGTTTCAAACTGCAAGCTCAGAGGCCGGCAGCGGCAGGCGGGGAACGTTGGCTTGGTCTGTCACTGGAGCAAGCAAGCCTCATGTTCGCTTCAAGCTGCCTGGCTGCCGGCCGCCATCTTGGCTGGCAGTTAATTTGCATATTGCCCTGATTAGCCAATGGGAAGGGTAGCAGAGGTACAGCTAATTACCATGTTTCTCTTTTATTAGATAGGATTACAATTACAATATAGTATTAATGGAAGAGTGCATATAAGTGTAACTGTCTTATTGGGGTATAAATATGAGTTGGCTTTACTTTTTTCAGGCTCTGTCCCCCAACTGTGGTAGTGTGAACTTCCCTTTCCTATTAGGCGGTAGCTTTCTTAACAACTTATTTTGATCCCGTAACTTTCATCCCCTCTTGGTCATAAGAATTCCCTCATGCCAATACTTAAGATTCAGTTCTGTCCAATCTCTGTTCTCACATCTGATGCAAACCCTCCCGCACTTGACTGGGCTGCCATCCTCTCTATGTGCTTGTTGTTGTTGCCCTGGCCATCAAGACCAGATTGGCACCATGTCCTCTGTTTGGCTGGAATTTAAATGCTGGCCACTTATGGGGTGAATCTGAGAGCCCTGAATATAGTCATGAGCTGTGGATATTTATTTTATTCTTTTTTATAAATTTATATTATAATTACTTATTTTTATTGCTTAAACTGCTCTAGCTTTGCCTCTGGGGGCTCTTTCATTTGGCGCCTTGGGACATGCCCTCATCTTTTCTTGTCTTTTCTCCCCCTCACCCTCTCTAGTTTTCTTTTCTTTTCTATAAGATGGTCAAGCTCAACCTGTGCATTCTCTGCCCCAGCCCTAGAACCAGCCACTTATCCAAGGAGCTCTGGTTACTTTTGTTGAAGAATGATATTTAGAAACCAAGCTCTGAGCACTAAGTGTGTTCATTGTTATTGAGGTCACATCACATCTAGACCCTCAAGTGGACAGAGCTAAGGAATGTATAAACACTAGCCTATGTATACACACATATCTATATTGAGTTCTATATCCATTTATTTATTTATTTTTTAAAATATATTTTATTGATTTTTACAGAGAGGAAGGGAGAGGGATAGAGAGTTGGAAACATCGATGAGAGAGAAACATCGACCAGCTGCCTCTTGCACACCCCCTACTGGGGATGTGCCCGCAACCAAGGTACATGCCCTTGACCGGAATCGAACCTGGGACCTTTCAGTCCGCAGGCCAACGCTCTATCCACTGAGCCAAACTGGTTAGGGCAATATATATATCCATTTATTTATATTAAAATAAACATAAGTTCAAACTATACCCCAGCTCTAATCCAAAGTTCACTGGAGCCTTTCCTACTTGCTTATGTGTTACTTCTTTCTCTGATAGAAACCTGTCTCTCCTTATCTACAATATTTTCTTGTTTAACCTTAGTATACTGTATACTTAAAGTAGTTTCAGAATTGCTAACCTAAACTCCTGTGAAATACAAATTTACCAACTAGAGGATAGTGTTTTTGTAGCATTCTTTGTGTTTTTATCTTACGGTTTTAAGTAAAAGCATTGTTTTCCAAAGTTAATTAGACCAGCTCTTTCTCCCCCACCCTCTATAGTGAGGTCATGTCATATATTTGTAATATAGTTAGATTCATTTGTCACAAACTGCATTCCATCATGGGTTCCCCTGAAAGCCTGGTTAATTTTTGAAATTGCATGCAATAAAGGTCACTGTACACTATAGCTTTGTACATTTTGACAAATACATAGAGTTATGTATCCACCATCACAGTACCATAGAGACAGCTCCATTACTCTAAAAATTCCTTTGTAGTAAAATCCCCCCTTCCCCAAACCTCCCAACCACTAACCTATCTCCCATCCCTATAGTTTCACCTTTTCCATATGTTATATAAACGGATCCTAAAATAAGTAGATGCTCAGGTCTAGCTTCTTTCACGTAGAGAAATGCATTTAAGATTTGTCCCTGTTGTTGCATGAACCAATAGTTCATTCCTTTTTACTGTTGAGTATACAGTAGACAGTCATTGTATGAATATACCACCGTTTATCCATTCACTTGTCGCAGGACATCCGGGTTATTTCTAGTTTGGGGCAAATGTGAATAAAACTGCTGTAAACAGTCATGTATGTTTCTTTTTGTGTGGGTGAACACAAGTTTTATTATTTATTTAAAATATGTTTTATTGATTTTAGAGAGAGGAGGGGAGAGGGATGGAGAGATAGAAACATCGATTGGCTGCTTCCTGCATGCCCCCAACTGGGGATGGAGCCCATAACTGGGGCATGTTCCCTGTCTGAGAATCAAACTGTGACCTCCTGGTTCATGGTCTGATGCTCAGCCTCTGAGCCACACTGGCCAGGCTGAACACAAGTTTGCAATTCACTTGGGTAAATGCCTAATAGTGGAATGGCTCGGTCACATAAGTAGTTTGTAAGAAATTGCCAAATAGTTTTCCAAAGTGGATGTTATGCTTTGCAATCCCATTAGCAATGAGTGAGAGTTCCTGTCCTCCCACATCTCCAGCCTTGGTTGTCCATCCTCATTTTGAAGTGGAAACTGTCCTGCACCCCCACTCTGACTCCTCCTTTCCTGTTGGCCCCTGCTCATTCTACAAAACAGTCTGCATTTTTGCTTTGCAGTCTGCTGGTACTAGTGAAGGTAATGACTTTGTTTTTTTAAAATATATTTTTATTGATTTCAGAGAGAAAGATAGAAACATCAATGATGAGAGAGAATCATTGATCGGCTGCCTCCTGCAGACCCCCAACTGGGAATCGAGCCCACAACCTGGGCATGTGCCCTTGAGTGAAATCGAACCCGGGACCCTTCAGTCCACAGGCTGACGATCGATCCATTGAGCCAAACCAGCTAGGGCAGTGGTCGGCAAACTGCGGCTTGCGAGCCACATGCGGCTCTTTGGCCCCTTGAGTGTGGCTCTTCCACAAAATACCACGTGTGGGTATGCACGTACAATGCGACTGAAACTTCGTGGCCCATGCGCAGAAGCTGGTTTTCGGCCTGGGCGAGTCTATTTTGAAGTACTGTTGATATTTGGCTCTGTTGACTAATGAGTTTGCCGACCACTGAGCTAGGGCATGAAGGTAATGATTTTAGACTACTTTATATTTCCACTGTGCACTAAAGTACTCTCTCATTTTTTTTTAAAAAAAAATCTCTTAATAGTCCTAAAAGGCAGTTTAGGAAACATCCTTAGGTTGGTATGAGAGATCACGGCCTGTTTGAAAAGAATTTCTTTCTGGCTTTCCCAAACCTCTGCTTTAGTAAACCCTCTTAGCTCCCTACTCATCTCAGCCTCTTTGTAGTCTAACCAGATAAATCCACTGAAAAAAGGATGGTCGAGGGTCTTCACTTGGCTGTGGCAGGAGAGACTAGTACCCGTGGCTTTCCAGCTGGGTGGGAAGCCCTTAATTCCACAGGAAGGGCCGTGTGTCTTCTTCCTGCTCAGCGTCGCCTCCTAACGCGGCAGCCAGCACAATGTCATCCTCCCCGGAGCCCTGGTTTGACCCCTCTCCTCCACGTTTCATCTGACGGCTCTCACTCTGTGCGGATGGCTGATAGGCCCCAAAATCCCCTGAAACCAGGAACCTCCCTGATGGCATGACCAGGGGGCCATGAGTCTCCGTACCCTCTGTCCTTCCCTCTACAGGGTTTGTGTGTGAGGATGTCACTCCTTCCGCCAGCTGCTGGCTTCCATTGGGACCTGCTGGTGGGACATTTTCATAATCTGGGCAGCACTGAAAGGACATCCAGGGCTGCTTCCCCTGGGCGGCCCCCAGGTCCAACTCTGCCGTGTTGACGTAGTCATTTGAGGTCTGAGAAGAGCTTTCCTCATCGCTGAGTGGATCGTTGCCCTCAGTTCCTGGAGGCAAAAATCGGGCGTAGTCACTGGCATGGTCCCAGCCCTTGTCCCTTTCCTCAGTGGATTCCAGCTCCCGAGCACTTGGGCGGGCAAAGAGGTTCCCAGGGGGGTGGCTAGGAGCAGCCAGCAGCTCAGCAATCTCTGCTGCTGTGGGAACGTTGACGTAGTCTCTGGAGTCCTCTGAAGAGACGCTCAGGTCGCCTCCAGCTGCTCTGACGTGGACGGAGTGCGCCGAGGGGGTGAGGTTCTCATACACCCAGGGTCCCGTGGCGTTGTCGTAGATGCCCACGGAGTGAGCCTGGGCTCTGTGCACCTGGAGGGCACGGCTGGCTTGGGAGGTCTGCGCGCAAGAAGAGAAAGCCAGGGACAGGACAGAAGCAGAAACAGGGACGAAGCCTTTCCTCTTCCCCACCCAGTACTCTCATCGGATCGTTCCTCCACCCAGTTCTCCACCTCGGAGAAGAGTTCTGAATCAAATACAAGACTGCCCTAGCCGCTTTGGCTCAGTGGATAGAGCGTCGGCCTGTGGACTAAAGGGTCCCAGGTTCGATTCCGGCCAAGGGCACATGCCCGGGTTGTGGGCTTGATCCCCAGTGGGGGGGGGGGGGGGGCGTGCAGGAGGCAGCCGATCAATGATTCTCTCTCATCATTGATGTTTCTCTCTCTCTTTCTCTCCCTTCCTCTCTGAAATCAATAAAAATATATTAAAAGTGAATAAATAAATTAAAAAAAATACAAGACTTTGGATGCTAGGTGGGCATGAGCAGAGTTTAGGGAAAGCAAAAATGTAATGTGACGATAAACAGTAACTGTATTTTGGCCACAAGGTGGGGGTTCAATGGAGAAAATACTATAAACAGGACAGAGCCTGCCAGCTCAGAGCACACTGAGGGGTAATATAGCCTAGTGGCTAAAGGTGGAGCAGGCCCAGACTGAGGGTGCAGACCCTAGCCTCACCCCTCTGAATGCTCTCCTTGCAACCTCAAAGGCTGGCCCCCCACTTGAGCAAGTTACTTACTCTCTCCATGCCTCCGTTTCCTAAGTAATAAAACAGGGATGATTATAGTATCTATATTATAAGCTTTCTGTGAGGAGTACATGGGTTGCTGCAGGTGAAGTGTTTAGAATTGCTCCTGGCACACAGAAAATACGAGAATGCTTGCCATTATCATCACTAAAGGGGTTGAAGGGGCAGCTGGCACAGACCCAGCTGATTATGGCCATTTAGGGATGCTGGTCTGATGTTTCCAAAATTTCTGAGTTTTCGAGAAAAGCTGGACATCTGGGCTTGAATGTGAGATCTTTTAGATTTTTAAATGTTGGCAACTGGCTTAAATGTTCTTCCAACACACAGAGCCCAAGCTAACCACACTTGTGGGCTGAAGTCAGTTCGGGATCGAAGCTCTGGATGCAGAATCCCCCCAGGACCCACCCACGCCCTGGAACTAGCTTTGGCAATGGAGTTTCTCTTCCCTGCCCTGTGAGTGGAGTCCAACATGGGCCTTGCAGGAAGGGGAGGAAGCACAGGCAGTGACATGGAGGTAGCCGCAGGGTAAAGGGGGGCTGGGTACTGACAGAAACACCATCAGCAGCAAGATGGCATTTACTCGAGATGACCATAAAACCAACGAGCAAACAGAATTTCTTCAACAAGCAAACAAAACTTCTCTCTGGGAATAATGAGCATCCTGACCTTCGAAGCAGTCCCTCCCCTGTCCCTGCCTCTGCCCCACACCACGCGGGACCCCTCGCCCTGGGAGCTCCCGTCAGCCACAGCGTAAGCCACAAGGGGTTGCTGTTACTAATTGTAACACACTCCTTGCAACCCAACCCCATTGGGTCAAACACTTTGGAAACTAGCTATAGTTCTCAATGATTTATGACTATTTCTGCTGATGGGGAATCATTGAAATAATGTGACAGGAGCTCCAGAAGTAATCCCCAAAGCAGGCTTTTAAGTCTGCTTTGAGCACCAACAGCAATGGGGACTCTCTGTGACCCTTGGGGGCTCGTTTGAATAAGCATGTTACCATGTCTTTGATCAAACAACCCATTGCAGTTCCAACATCAGGCCCTGGAGGACTCATGCCTTAAAACCCCAAGCTCTTACTCATCTTTCTGAATTTTTCTCCTGGGGCAGCAGGAGGTCCTGAGGCGAATCTTCCTGATCTAATAGGGCCAAGGTTTATATGCAGGGACACAAGATCTGGGGCCTAGAGCTCTTTCTCCTCCGTCCTTGGGCCAGACACAGGCAATTCTTCCCAAGGGCCGGTTGTCCCACGTGACTTACCACGTGTGCGGAGGGAGGGCTGTCAGAGTTTCTGGAGAGGAGGCTCTCGATACTGAATACACGGAAACTCCTCGACTGGTGTCTCCCTGGAAGGACAGAGGACAGAGCCTGATGGTGTAGCCCAGCGGTTCTCAACCTTCCTAATGCCGCGAGCCTTTCATACAGTTCCTCATGTTGTGGTGACCCCCAACCATAAAATTATTGTTGTTGCTACTTCATAACTGTAATGTTGCTACTGTTATGAATCGTCATGTAAATATCTGATCTGCAGGATGTATTTTCATTGTTACAAATGGAACATAATTAAAGCCTAGTGATTAATCACAAAAACAATATGTAATTATAGATGTGTTTTCCAATGGTCTTAGGCGACCCCTGTGAAAGGGTCGTTCGACCTCCAAAGGGGTCGCGACCCATAGGTTGAGAACCGCTGGTGTAGCCAGTCCTGGCTTCAGCCTGCACACGCCCCGCATGGTGGGTGAAGCGGGCCTGTGTGGGGCCTGGCACGTGGGAGCTGCTGTTCTGTGGCGAGAGGGTCCGAGCTGTAAGGATGATGCGCCCTGAGGCCGGGGGCCCTCCTCAGCATCCGGGGCACCAGAGGACACCAGCCCCGGGGTGGGGGGCTGGGAAGGGAGTGCCTGGTGTGAACCCTCCCTGCCTGGAATGCTGGCGGCCACGTTCTCTGTTTTTCAGAATGTCTTCCCCATCCCCAGACTCACCCATCTGTCCTCCGCTACCTTAACATCAGGAAGAACCAAAACCCCAACCCTAGAATGTGAGTCAAGGTCTGTTTAAGTCCAAAGACCTTACTCTTGCCACTGCTGGAAGCTTAGAGAAAGTTGCTTCTGGGTGGTGAGAGGTGCATTCATGGGGCAGAAGTTCTGTAGGTCTGGACTCCGTGGATTAGAAGGAAACACCTACCTAGAACTCCTTGCCTTCGGGGCACGAAGTCATAAATATTTTTGGCTCGTTGTCTGGACGGAGGCAGAGTCCGCAAGGGCGCCGTGGTAACCCGCAGGTAAGGAACTCGCCCTGCAGGGCAAGGACACAGAGGGGGACGCTGGGGATGAGATGGCTCCATTCTCACCCTGCACCATACAAATACCCGTCCAGACTGGACAAATGCCATTTGAGCTGCAGGGACAGGGGTCTCCGTTGACAGAGCTGGGAGAGAAAGCAGGGCCCAGGGGTAGGAGAGCAGTGACTTTCAAGAGGGATCTCCACTCTCTCCAATCAGCACTCAGCCTTTTGGACCCTGAGGGAGGCAAGGACCAGCGTGTCCGATAAGGACTCCTTGCGCAAATAGTTTACCCCCGGAGAATAAACCCGGCTTCAAATGCCCGGCTAGATGATTGGCCCTCATGTGCCTCAACTTTGGACACACGGGGGACTCACGCTTCTTCCGTGTGGTCCAGTTCCACAGGACGCAGAGCACCGCGATGACCAGGAGGATGGCAAGGAGTCCCGCCAACCCAGCAAAGATGCTGCTGCTCCAGTCCTGATCTCTGCAAGGAAACGGAGTGCCATGCCCAGCCGGGCGGGGAGGCTGAGGAAGATGCTTCCCAAGGACTTGGGAGGGGAGCCCGGAGAAGGAAGGCCGAGCTGGGGTGGGCTGTGTGGTGGGAGCGGGTCCTCTCTTTGTGGACACGGAAGGAACTGTCCCGTGTGAATGCTCACTGGATGCCAGGGGTTTGCCTGTGAAACTTATTTCATCTTTACAACAACCCTACTTCTCTTTGTGACTAAGAAACCTGAGGTTTAGCCCGGCTGATGTGGCACAGCGGTTGAGTGTTGACCTATGAACCAGGAAGTCACAGTTTGATTCCTGGTCAGGGCATATGCCCAGGTTGTGGGCTCGATCCCCAGTGTGGGGAGTGCAGGAGGCAGCTGATGGATGATTCTCTCTCATCAGTGATACTTCTTTCTTTTTTGTTAAAAAATATATTTTTACTGATTTCAGAGAGGAAGGAAGAGAGAGAGATAGAGGTTCAGAAACGTAAATAACACATCAAAGATCACACAGATAGGAAGGATCAAAGATGGAATGTGAGTCAAGATCTGTTTGGGCCCCAAGATCACACTCTTTCCACTGCATCACATTGGCCTCCAAACTTGCAAAGGCAAGTTCCTCTGTCCTTGCTTCCCCTTGTTGCCACTCCCGGGCTTTCTGTCTTTCCAGGAGCAAAGGATTACCCAATTGACAGTTAGGGAGCGGCTCTGTGACAGGGTCCAGCTTGTGTGCACTTGAATAACCTTCACAGCACCAACTTGTGGAGCTGGTCTCCAAGCAACACTCTGTTCCGTGGAATTTCACCAACAGGAACGCACTGAGAGTGTTCCCTGCCAGTTGCCATTTCCCTGCAGGGATGGGGCGGGCTGCTGCTCCTCATTGCCTGTTGTAACAGCAAGCAGCCAGTGAGGCTACAGAAGGAATTACTAGCTGACCCGGTACCGCCAACTATTAGAAACCAGGTCATGTGTCAGGGAAGGCTTTTGTCTTCCTGGGTTCCAGGCTTGCGTAACCAACTTGATACTGGTCATGTCCACTAGGCTGCCCCACATGATCTCAAACCAAATCTGTGTGAAACAGAACTCCCATTCTCCCTCATAAGCCTGCCCCTCCTCTGGCATTTCCCATCATCTAGTGCAGTGATGGCGAACCTTTTGAGCTTGGCGTGTCAGCATTTTGAAAAACCCTAACTTAAACTCTGGTGCCGTGTCACATATAGAAATTTTTTGATATTTGCAACCATAGTAAAACAAAGACTTATATTTTTGATATTTATTTTACATATTTAAATGCCATGTAACAAAGAAAAATCAACCAAAAAAATGAGTTTGCGTGTCACCTCTGACACGTGTGTCATAGGTTCGCCATCACTGCTCTAGCGGCTCCATCGGAAATCATCCTTGGCTGCTCTCTCTCTTTCATGTCCGACTCCTCGTCAACCAGCAGGTTCTGTTGCTCAACCCTGGGCATCAATTCCGAACGCAGTTACCCCTCACTCCTCCTCTGCCTCCACCCAGCCTGGGCCTCGGTGTGTTCCACACGGACCTTTGCAATAACCTTCCTAATGGGTTTCTTGCTTTCACTCTCAGCCTCAACGTACCATCTTTACACAGGAGCCAGCGTGAGCCCCTAAACAGTAAACCAGGTTGCGCCCTTTTCTGCGTGCAACCCTCCATGACTTCCCATCACACCTGGGATAACACCCGCAGTCCCACCCCCGGGAGGACTTCACGGCACTTCTGTTCTGGCCTCTTCCTACCTCCAGGCCTCATTTCCTACCGCTTCCTCTGACTTTGACGGCCAGGACTGCTTGTGCTCCTTGCCCATGCAAAGCACCGTCCTGTCTCAGGCCTCGGCTGTCTCTCCCACCTGCCCGCCTGGCTCAGCCCCTCATTTAATTCAGGTCTCTTCTGAGATGTCACCTCCTCAAACAGGTCTTCCCTGGCCACACCGTGTAACCCGCAGTCCCCTTACTCTGCCCTGGTTTTTCTTCATGGGGTTTATGACAGACGTTATTCTATGTTCATTTGTTTATCTCTTTGTTTTTTTTAAAAATATTTGACTCTCCCGCCAAAACCGGTTTGGCTCAGTGGATAGAGCGTCGGCCTGTGGACTGAAAGGTCCCAGGTTCGATTCCGGTCAAGGGCATGTACCTTGGTTGCAGGCACATCCCCAATAGGAGGTGTGCAGGAGGCAGCTGATTGATGTTCCTCTCTCATCGATGTTTCTAACTCTCTATCTCTCTCCCTTCCTCTCTGTAAAAAATCAATAAAATATATTTAAAAAAAAATATTTGACTCTCCCACTTGACTATAAGCTCCAGGAAGTCATGGACTTGTCTATTGTGTTCACCTGGTGCCTGGAACAGTAAGGGCCTGAGAAATATTTGTTCAATGAAGGAATGAGTGAATTAATAAACAAATGAATGAATACAGACTTCATTTTCTTCGGGGGTGGGGTGGGGAATCCAGGGTTCTGATGTTATGAATTCATTCCCCATCAATGCCCCTCTCCATCTGCCAGTGACATGTTTGTCTTGGAAATAACTTTTATTTTCCCCAAACTACAGAGATTTAAAGTTCATTATCGTTGCGTTGTACTGTTCTCACAGCACTGAAATTTATACCTACCAGTGTTGCTAAAGTTTCAACTGCTGCTGGACTTTTATTTTTGTTAGGAAGACATGGAACGTAAAGATTAAGCAAACAATTGGTATCTGCCATTAGTTTGGTGAGATTTTATGTCCTAAAGCAGATGTTTATCATACCTGCGATTACATTTCTCATTCATGGCAAGTTTTTAGGATCTAAAAACACATCTTTGGGAAAAGGGAGCCTTTTGTTTTTTTTCATGGTGGGACCTAGTGCTTGTTTGAGGAGCCACTGGTGGGACTTGAGATGGGAAAGATTGAGGACAGCGGTCAGAGCCTCTGAGAGGTGAGAAACTCAACGGGGCCAGGCAGCTTGCGCTGAGAAAACCCTGCGTGATCACAGATATTCCTCTTCCCCCACGACTCCTCTTTCTCAACACCCCTCCCTTTCCCCTCAGAGCGAGCTTCTCTGAGCCTCGAGTTTGGTGGTTTCAGTGGACCTGAGCCTTGTTGTAAGGGGAGGCAGCTGCCGGGGTGGAGGCCCCCAGGGTAGGCCAGGGCCCTCAGGAATTCAGGGAAGGGTGAGCCGCCCTGGGCCACTCACCTGCCCAGCCTGCTGGGGGTTCCCTGCAGAGTGCTGGGCTCCGAAGTCCCCCCTCCGAGTTCTGAACGGGTCGGGGTGATGGCATCCATGGTCCCCAGGAGCCCCTCTGGCTTCGGCTTCTCCTTCTAAGCCTTCTCTCAATCAAAGCCAGCTGCCTGCATATGTGCCACTTTTCCTGAGTGGCTGACTCCCAGGAGAAAAGGCAAAATTAGTTAGTATTTTACATATCATCCTGGGGGAGGGTGGGGAGGAAGTCATTTGGTTTTTAAAGTTCCATCTTCCTCCTCCTCCCCCCCTCTATGCCTAAAATGTCAGGCTGAGTTGACCCCAAATACAAAAACGACAGGTTTGGTTCTACCTGGATGTGCCTACCTTGCCCACTGCAGGAGAGCAGAGCTCATCTGGGCGTGGGACTCCCTGAGGGGCAGCACAGTCTCTGCCCGCTGGTGGGAGTGCGAGGGGCACCGAGGTGGAAGCTGCCAGGAGGCCGAGAGAGGCTCTGTGAGAGGCGCATCTCCCCAACCCCCAGAGCAGAGAGGAGAGAGCAAACACTTGGCCAGAATGGAAACAGAGAGTCAGAGACAGGAAGCGACACCACCAACATGCTCACGAAGCATGGGCACCGGAAAAGTGCTCAGCTCTCAGCCGATGGCAGAGAACACGCCCCGCCCCCACCGCTGCTCGCTGGGCTGGCAGGTGCTCCGTGGTCTGGGGGAGAGGGATGACGGAGGGGCCAGGTGGCAGGTGGGTGACCGCTCACTCTGGGTTTCGGAGGCCTGTCGTGTTTCATCGGCCCCCAGGTTCATAGCGGTGTTTGCAGGTCTAGGAGAACTGGAGGGTGCTTTTTAGGCCCAAATGCGGACCTCTGGCACCTGATGCTGAATCGTGGGCGGAGGGTGGAAAGGTTGTCGTCATAAAAGCTACCAGATGGTTTTGATGGAGCTGATCTGTGTTTCAAGATTTTGAGAACCTTTGTTCTGGGTGTGACCAGCATGGAGCTTACGCTGGGTTCACAGGCCCCCTGGAGTCCACTCTGTCCACCCTCAGCACCCCCCCCCCCCCCCCCCCCCCCCCCCCCCCCCGCTGGCTGTCTCGCTCACAGGGCTCTCTGGAGGATGGATCCAGCCCCTTGCACACCTGTCTCAGAAGTCAAATCGTTTAGCCCCGGTGTCCCAGCTTTGAGGATTGCTCCCCATTTGTTTCTCACTCTCTTACCCTCTTCCTCTGACCAATCTCCTGAAACCCTCTTTGCATCTTGGGAGAATCTGAAGACAAGGGGTCACTAAGGCTATTATGAGGGTGTGAGGAAGAGCCTCTCTCTCCACCAGGAAAGCGATTCAGATAAATGGCAGGGAAGGCAGCCAGCGCTGAGCACCATGTCTCTCTCCCACCTCTTCCTGAGCTGCCAGCCCTGGCCAAGCTCTCACAACCCCCCTTCACCCCCCCCCCCCACGTGAGGGCCCCCTGTGGCTCACCGCTCCCCTCCCCCAAGCTCTGCCACTCCACATCCTCACTGCCCCTCCCCACTTCCCTCCTCCTGCCCAGGCAGCCTTACCTGGCAGGAAGCTGAGATGGCTCAGAGGCAGCTGGTTCTAGAGCTGGAATCTGGGTCTCTGTCCATTTCTGCTTTGGGTCAGGACTTAGTAAGAACGAGGACTCCTCATGGGAAAGAGGTCCATGGCTCTGCTCTGGTTGGTGGCTGGGACTATTGCAAGAGAGGCTCACTCCCTGGCCTGTCCTGAGCCACTGGCGAGAAGAGGGACTGTGAGTGAACTGGGAATTTGGAAGATGATACAGGGGAAGGGCAGCTAGAACAAAACCTTAGAACCCTGACTACTACTTTAAAAAAACTTTTTTTTTTTTTAAAACTTCCTCCTGCATGTGATAATCTCTTATCTACTCAGCCTGCTTGAGTCAGACTCATCTTTTTTTTTTTTTTTCCTTCACGTGCTCTTGACCGGAATTGAACCCGGGACCCTTTTGTCTGCAGGCCAAGGCTCTAGCCACTGAGCCAAACTGGCTAGGGCCAGACTCGTCTTGCCTCTGGTCTTCTGAGTCTCTCCTGCCCACACTGGAGGGAGCAGCCTCCTCAAAGGAGGCTCCCTGGGAAGGATGGACCTCGGGTTTCCAGGCCCTGGGAGCACTCTTTCACCTGCTCTTCTTCCCCTCCGCATGGCACACAAACCAACTAAACCAACAATTAAAGCACAAAATAGGCCGAAACCGGTTTGGCTCAGTGGATAGAGCGTCGGCCTGCGGACTGAAGGGTCCCAGGTTCGATTCCGGTCAAGGGCATGTACCTGGGTTGCGGGCACATCCCCAGTGGGAGATGTGCAGGAGGCAGCTGATCGATGTCTCTCTCTCATCGATGTTTCTTACTCTATCTCTCTCTCCCTTCCTCTCTTTAAAAAATCAATTAAAAAAATTTAAAAAAAAAAAAAAAAAAAGCACAAAATAGGTGTCTGAACTTATTCATCATAACCGTGGAAGAAACTACTCATTCCTGGGAAATAAATAGTAGATGTTTTAAACCTGATTGCTCTAATGTTTCCCTATAGTCACTTTTAATGATTTCAGGCGTTGAGTGTGACATATGATGCTAAAGTTTTGTGGAAGAAAAAACCATAGGCCCAGAATGGTGTCGCCTGTGCTAAAGCCCTAGATTTATTATCTGACTTAATTGAAGTTTCAGCTTCTCCCAGAAATATAATCGTTTTAAATAAATCTTTATTGTTGAGAGTATTACAGATATCCCCCTTTTTTTCCTCCATTGCCCCCCTCCCTGCCTGTTCCCACCCTGCCCCAGGCCTTCACCATCCTATTGTTGGTGTCCATAGGTAATGCTTATAAATTCTTTGGCTAATCTCTTCCCAAACCCCTCCCCCACTTCCCTCTGAGATTCATCAGTCTGTTCCATGTTTCCATGCCTCTGGTTCTATTTTATTCATCAGTTTCTTTTGTTCATCAGATTTCTTATTCATTTATTTTTATTTTTAGATTCAATTTTTGATAGATATGTATTTATTGCCATTTTATTGTTCATATTTTAATTTCTCCTCCTCCTCCTCCTCCTTCAAGATTACTTTTAGCATTTTATGTAATACTGGCTTGGTAGTAATGAACTCCTTTAGCTCTTTTCTGACCTTCAATTCTAAGTGATAGTTTGCTGGGTAGGGTAATCTAGATTGTAGATCATTGCTATTCATCACTTTGAATATTTCTTGCCACTTTCTTCTGGTCTGCAAAGTTCCTGTTGAGAAATCAGCTGACAGTGGTATGGGTGCTCCCTTGTAGGTAGGTAACTGCTTTTCTCTTGCTGCTTTGAAGATTCTCTCTTTGTTTTTAACCTTTGGCATTTTAATTATGATGTGTCTTGGTGTGGGCCTCTTTGGGTTCATCTTGTTTGGGACTATCTGTGCTTCTTGGACTTGTAAGTCTATTACTTTCACCAGGTAGGGGAAGTTTTCTGTCATTATTTCTTCAAATAGGTTTTCAATATCTTGCTCTCTCTTCTCTTTCTGCCCTCCTCCCCCATGATGTGAATGTTGGTTTGCTTGAAGTTGTCCCAGAGGCTCCTTACACTATCATCATATTTTTGGATTCTTTTTTCTTTCTGCTTTTCTGATTGGGTGTTTTTTGCTTTCTCATATTCCAAATTGCTGATTTGATTCTTGGCATCCTCTACTCTACTGTTGATTCCTTGTAAATTATTCTTCATTTCAGTTAGTGTATCCTTCATTTCTGACAGTCCTTTTTTTCATGTATTTGATGTTCTCATTAATTTCCTTAAAATTCTCACTAAGTCCATTGAAACTCTCTTTAAGGTCCTTGAGCATCCTTATAACCATTGTTTTGAACTCTGTATTTTTTAGTTTGCTTGCTTCATTGAATTTAGTTCTTTTTCTGGAGATTTCTCCTGTTTTTTCATTTGTGACATGTTCCTTCATCTCCCCATTTTGGCTGCTTCCCTGTGTTTATTTCTATGTGTTAGGTAGAGCTGCTATGTCTCCTGGATTTTGTATAGTGGCATTAATTATAGTGTCCTGTGTAGGGCCCTGAGCTGTGCATTCTAGGTGCACCTCTGTGTAGACACTGTCTTGTTGTAGTTGAGCCTTGATTGCTATTGGTCACTGGGAGGAATTGACCTCTAGGCCAATTAGCTGTGAGGACCAGCTGCGACTACAGCAGAAGAGCTGCTGTGCAGGAGACACCCCTATGGAGCAGGACTTGCTTCACTGGGGCCTTGGAGCTCACTGAGTCTGTCCCTTGGGTGTGTTGCTTGTGGATGTGTAGAGTTGTAATCTGGTGTGGTTTGAAGCTGTCCCCTGGGTGCACTGGCTCTGGTTCTCTCCCCTCCCTCCCCCCTCCAAGGTACAAAGTCAGCCGCTGCCTATGCCCCTATCTGGGGCCACCCATCAAGAGCTACAGAGCAATCTGAAGATGGCTGTGTTGGGCTTGGAAGTGCCAAGGAAAGTCCAAGCTGTGAAGCAAGGCAGGCTGCTGCTAGTGCCGGGCCTGGGGCCTCTTATTGATAGGTATGAGACATGCTGATGCCAACTGCTGGTTGTTTGAGAGATTTCAGAAAAGTCTGAAGCCTGAGGCAGGGCAAACCATTCAAATGGAAAAGCTGCTGCAAACAGCTTGGGTGGGACTGCAAATTGAGTGGGGTGGGTCTCAGGGAATCACCAGGGTGGAGCAAACAGTGTGAGCCATGTTGATGGAGACTCAGATATGGCACCTGCCAGTCAGCTCTGCAATGGGGGAGGTCTCAGCATAGGAACAATGACCCCTGTCTAAGAGAAAGCTGACCCCAAGTTCTTGCCCCATTGCCAGCCATTCCAGTTCTTCCCCACATGTCCTTGGCTCCCCCCAAGCTGCTGCCCCAGTGTAGGAGCTCAAAGGGAGCAAATTTGAGTAAGTCCATGGGCTGGCCCTTTAAGAGGAACTTCCTGGGTCTCTAGCAGCCTCTGTGTCACTCAGCCACAATCCCTGCTGGCTTTAGCCTAAAGTTTCAGGGGGTTCTCTTCACAGCACTGGAACCCTGGGCTTAGGGATCTGATGTGGGGCTGGAACCCATTGCTCCTCATGGGAGGCCTCTGCAGCCTAGACATCTCCCCTGATTAAACAAACGCTACATGTGGGTGTTGGACCAGCCCTTTCTGCTCCTCTGCCCCTCCTACCAGTCTCCATGTGCTTTCTTCCTTACTTCTCTAGCTGTAGGACTTTCTTTCAGCCAGATTTCAGGTGGTTTTGAATGATGGTTGTTCTGCATTTTAGTTGTAATTGTGATGTGGGAGGTGGTGAGTACCATATTTACTATGCTGCCATCTTGGTTCCAGAAATGTAATCTTAATCAACCAGTCTGGAATGTTCTAGCCAAGCCCCTGTCTCTATCCTCTGCCTCCCTCGCAAAGGAAGAAGAGACAATCTGCACCATAAAATCCTTGCCTTTTCCTTCCCTCCACTCCCAAAAGATGTCCTGGTTTAGAAGTAATTATTATTATTATTATTATTATTATTTTTTTTTTTTCACTAAAAACACCCCTGCCCTGCCCTTTTTCCTACAGCCCTGCAGAGTACCCTTCTATTTGCTGGATGGGATGCTGCTTTATTAATTTGCCAATTAGATCTTCAAATTTACTTGGTTGAATTTTGTTCTCTACCAGCATTAGGGTTTATTTTAAAACACCAAAAACCTCTTGGAATCCTCTTTGGGAAGACAGAAGCCCCATGTTGAGTATCACCAGGAGTTCAGATCCTAAATTACTACTTGGGTGATCTTGGGCAGGTCCTCTCGTATTTTTAGGGTGTAAGATGACAATAATAATAGTACTTAGGTAGCGCTGTTGTGAGCGTTAATTGGGCTAACAATGAAAAATGCTTGGCCTTGCACTTGGCATATACAAGAGCTCATTATAGGGCGGCTGCTCTTATATTATTATCTCATGATGCATTAGGCTCATTTCTTTACACTGAATAGACTGGCCCCTTTGCCTTTCCCTCTTGACTCTCAGCCTGCCTGCCTTCTGTGTGCTACCTTATTCCTGAAGGGCATGGCGATGAAACAGACGTGTCCCTGCCCTCATGCAGTGGTGAGCGAGGGCTGGACCCCTTGCGGGTGCTCTGCATGCCAAGCAGGCCCACCCAGCTCATCGCCACTTTTGTACTCTGTGCCTTTGAACGACAAGTTTCTCAATTTTAACAGCAGTTTCCTTTTCTCTAGTACAGTGGTTCTCAACCTTCTGGCCCTTTAAATACAGTTCCTCATGTTGTGACCCAACCATAAAATTATTTTCGTTGCTACTTCATAACTGTAATGTTGCTACTGTTATGAATTGTAATGTAAATATCTGATATGCAGGATGGTCTTAGGCGACCCCTGTGAAAGGTCATTCGACTGCCAAAGGGGTCGCGACCCACAGGTTGAGAACCGCTGCTCTCGTAGAATTCCATTTAAATCACATTTAAGAATTTATATTGGTTATTTTTGGGTTTGGGACTTGAGGTATTTTGGTACGTTCTTTGGACACTTACCTGGCATTGCTTGAATTATTACAAAGATCAAGTGTAATTTTTATAAAAACAGCAACAAAATTGCTACTTTTTAAAACCAAGTGCCTTCGCTGTCACCTTCTTTGTGAAGCCTCCCCCGCCTGAGAATGGGGTTCTTGCCTTCTGTGTCCCCAGGGCCAGGCATGGTTGTGCTTCTCAGTTGTTGGGATTCCTTTTTGAAATGTCTGTCTCCCCAAGTAGACTCTGAACCCCTTCTGGGCAAGATACAATATTCGTTGTAAGACATGCACACACAGAAAATTCACTCCATCATCATTACAATGGTGGAGTATTATAAGTAACCCATAAGTCAAAAAAAAAAAAAAAAAAAAAAAAGAAGAATATTTGTTGTATCTCTGGCATTTGACACAGCACCTGGCCTTCTGGGAAGTTCCCTGAGTACTTGTTGCTGCTGTGAATTTACGACCTAAGTGTGTACGGGGTGAGATATTGAGGACGAAATCAGTGTCTAGTCTTCCTTCCTGCCGTGCACTCATCAGCCAAAGGAAGAAGGTGAGCCAGGCACCGCCCTCCCTGCCCTCCGTGGGAAGGGACCCCTGAGCTCCTGTGTGGGGTCTCCTTGGCCCTCAGGAGGGGTTCCCATGGCGTTAGTGTGGCTGGGCCCTGGTGAAAGCACTCCAGCCAGGCTCCCTTTCAGAAGGTTGGGAGCTGAAACAACCAGGCAGGGTTACAACAGGAGCCTCCAGGTGGCCATCCCCCACCCTCCCTGTTC